AAGCCTGTCTATATGATCTTTTCTTTTTTAGGCTTTTAATGTCTCATTTATGATAAGTGAGAAACAACCAACGTAGGTCGAGTCTTAATAGCAACCATTAATCGGTAGTTCCATGGGTTTACAAATATAAAAATGTGGTCTCCTCTTCTCTCTTTATTGTGGGTCTCTTCCTAAGGCCTTCCTAAAAAACTAGGCAAATGATGGTGGGGTTATTCACTCTGAGAATATGTATCAAGAAAATGGCGATCAATGCCAACATCAACACTAGTAGTTAGAAAAATCTCATTACTATCAATTTGATACCAAATTAGGATTAAACATTATAACTCACAACACTAGTAGTTAGAAAAATCTCATTACTACCAATTTGATACCAAATTAGGATTGAACATTATAACTCATCTCAATCTTTACCGTTTGAAGGTCAAAAATGAAAATTAATCACCAATGTGATATACCTTGGTATAAAAAAATAGCAAACAAATAAGGACAAATTAAATAAACAACTTATTTTTATTGATAAGGAAAGAAATACAAACAAATAAGATATAATAGTTCTCTTTTGAGAGGAGGACCGTCTCTCCCAAATCATAGAAGCCGTTAAGATCCCTCACAAAAATAGTACACAGCAAATACTCACAAAATTATTCATATAAATATAACATAAACCCTACTACTTATGATAATAAAACAACAAATTTCAAAACCTCTATCCCCCCATTCCCTCTTAAATTAACCCTCAAATCAGCCTTGTCCAATTAGAAAATATCTTCTAATTAATCCCCTCCAATTCAGCCCCCAACCCTTTTTAATTAGGAAACATCTCCTAATCAATCCCCTTCAAATCAGCTCTCAAATCTGCCCCTTTTAATTAGGAAGCATTTCCTAATTAATACCCTTCAAATCAGCCTTTAATCATCCCCCAAATCTATCTTCTTTAATTAGAAAATATTTCCTAATATATTTCTCTTTCCAATTAGGAAATCCTTCATAATTAATCCCTTCCTTAATCCTCTTCTCACATATGTAATGATAGATTTAATGGGACCTACAAAGGAGGCCGAATCCCTTGCCCTTTCCGCCCCTGGCATGCTGCCCTCTCCCATATCACAATATTGATTGAAGTTTGTGATCACTAAGGACAACATCAATGAGATGAAATGGAGATGGTTCCACTTGATGTTCGCTAAGTAATTTTCGATAGCTCACAACTTCATCATAAATATGGGGTGTTGGATTGACAACCTTATTAATAGTAGTTTACCAAGGAAGAAAAAACATCTCTATTGAAATTATACTATGGCATGTTTATGGCAGATATAGTAACATTAGCGCAAGTAGGTAGGCTTATCAATGCAAGCAAAGAATTCCTATTGATACCAGTCCAGCCTGTTGAAAAAGAAACGGGAAGTCATCTCTTTACCTTAGACCAAGATGACATATAGATGCATGAGCTAACTAAAGCGGAAAAAAATTCAACTCATATCCAACAGACCAATGCAAATCTGTTGATATACTAAAGCTTAGTCATCAAGATTGATACCAGCAAAGTTGAGGTGATCAATGAGTATTTAAGGCTAATTAAAGTTACACAAAGTGTATATACAATAGCCCAAGACATAGAAAATGAACAAAAGCATGCCTTCTAAAAGAGTAATGGGGCAAGAGCTATAATAAACAGAGAAGACTAAAGTACCAAATAACGAATTTAAAATGATAAAAAGAAATCAATGTCTAATCAATTTTGGCAAACTTGAAAGAGTAGGCATTACCATGAAAAAAATCAAACCAAATAGTAAATCGAAAGTATAAATTTAGACATTTGCACTGGGATCAAAAAAGTTTCCATGAGTCCATAGGTGCAATTGAATCATCAATGGGAGCCATACATAAGAGATCAAGGTCTCATAATTTGAACCGTTCAATTAAAATTCAAATTACAATAGGATAAAGATAAGTCGCATTCTTAAACTTATTTTAATAAGCTTTTTTTTTTTAATTCAAGGTTAGGAACATAGGATAAATATTGTTGGAATTTTCTTATGGTTTGAAGTTATCTAAATTTTTATTTGTAGATAGGGTTCCTTCTTTTTGTAAAGTTTGTACAGGAGCAGATTGTATCTTATCCTTGTTGTAATTGCTTACATAAAGACCTGAATTTAACATTAAATTCAATCTGAAAATACTAACAGATTCTTCCTCTCGTTCCTATTTTTTCCTCCCGCCAGCAACATAAATCACAAGACTCTACTGTTTCCACTGCTGCACGCTGTTTGCTGCTGCTTCCCTCTGTTTTTTGCTGGTGCTGCTTGCTCTATAGCCTACTTTAATTGCTGGCGCTTCTTTACAATCGTTGGTTGAGTCCAGCAGAAGAGGAATCAACAGTTTATTGTCCTTTTTGCTGTAATCCATAATCCAAATGGCATCCAGTTTTGCTTTTCAGTCAGAATACCGGTTGCTAGTATAGCATTCCAGAGGAAGTTTGGCAGGCTGTTGCCTTCCAGCAGAAAAAAAGTAGTTTCGAGATGTTGATTTCAACTTAAAGAGGGAGATCAGAAAACTAGTTGTAGTCCAGCAAAGTAGAAAGAAGCAAATTTGCTGTCTACAGCAAGTAGAAGGGAAAACAGCAAAGGGAAGTCCTTTACAGTGGGGCATACTCAATCTTGAGATATCCTAAGTTAATCCTAGATCATCAGGGAATGCAAAAAAAAGTACTAAACCCTCTTTTTCTCTCCTAAACTCTTAATTGGCAACTTTGTTCATCCGTTCAAGAGGTTAGCACCAAATCATGTATCTCCCGATTAGTTCCATAGGTACTAAATAAGGTTTTGTGTCCAGAAAAAGAAAACATTTGCTCCAGTCATGTAAAGGACATTAGTCAGAATGACTTTCTAAATAATGGTTTCATCTGATACTTCATAATTTACTGCTTCGCCACAAGAGACAGTGATTGAGACAGCTCCTATCGATTCTGAGGTGTAACTTAAAAGATCTGCAGCGGGCTCTACATTTTGTTCTCTGGTAGAGGGAACATTATGTCTTACCAGAATGCCTAGTTCACAATCAAAAGCATGCATTTGAAAGTTTCCTCATGATCAATGTATGCGCATAAGAAATTTGTCAGGGAAGTTCAGGTTCTTTTAACTGAGTGGAAGCATCTATCAATAGTTGAGTCATTACCAATAAAACCGTGTAGTCCATAGTTTGACATGTCTCATGAAGGTTTTAATCTGTAACCTTTCCTAGTACCCAAGAAATCCCAAAAAGTCTTCCATAAATTGACATTATTCAATATATTCATAACCAAACTTCTGATGTATCCTACCAAGATTTGTCATATTTATTGTCAAGATGGCCAGTTCATTTTCTAAATGGTGAAAAGGATAAGAAACTAGAGCCGTTTTTATCCCGTAGTGTGGTTTTCAAATGCTGGAAAATTATTTCCCTTATATGGATTCCAATAGCATAAGACATTTCCATAATTTATAATATGCTTATGATGCTTCAGACATTTCTATAACTTATAATGTGCTTATGATGCTTGTTTGTTAACTAAGAGCCACTTTGTTTCAACATTAAGTGTTTGGAAATAATTGAAGCTCAAAGTTTAGGGAAATAAGTTTTATTGAAGCGAGTTTCTATGATCTTTGTTTGTTTTGCATCAATTCACGTATTGCAAACTCAACATATTTTTCCACAAACTGCATGCAATTTTCTTCTTTTTATATGTAAATAGCAAACCACAAAGTGACATTCAATCACTCTTCCAATCCCTCATAATTGAAACTTCTCACCTTTATGAATGTTAGTCCCAAAACAAACCTAAATTTATCCACTTTCCATCAAGCAAGATCTTGAATTTAATTTTGGAGCAAAATTCTAACCGGTTTCTCATACTTATGCCAAAAACAAACTGGCCTTAAAAGATGACTATTCATCTTCATTGGTTTTGAAATTATTTTTGAGGCCTTAGATGATTTGATCGCATAAAACATCAGCCTTCTGATGACCCAGTTAGGAGAGTAGATGCATTAGATTTAAACTATGTTTAGAAAGGTAGAGGTAAACCTAAAAATACTTAGAAAGTATTAGAAATGACATTTTTAATTAGATTTAAATGATAATTCGACTTTTAATAGGACCACGATGGAGAAAAAAGATTCATGTTGCCAAACCCACGTTGTGGGATAAAGGCTTGATGATGTTGGTGTTGTTGTTACTCTTTTGTCACAATCCATGCACACACTAAGGCATTCCTATTCACTCTTTAGAATGTTTTCCTCCAATATTACCATTTGCACTTATCGGATATTAGATTGAAATTGGCCCTATAAGAACCAATAGAATCTAATCTCATCGTAGGAATTTAATTTTATTAACCAGCCCATAAGAGAAAACACCTTCCACGCCATCCCTTATATTCTACCGAAAATTTACCATTCTCAGTAGAAGTCTAACGAAACAGAAAAAATCTATAATAGAAGGGATTTAAACTGATCGTGAAAATAAACCGCAAGTTCCACTTTTTCCCCCGACTGTTTTCCTTTTGTTTTCGCTCAGCAACCTTTCAAAACAGAACTCCAGATAAGCGAAAAATCAGACACTTATAACAGAAAACTGCTGTGTCCAACCAATTCGGTTGACGCAAACATAAGACTCTCATTTCAAACCCTACACCATTAAGGGCTCTGTAATGTATGTAGATTTATTCAATGAAGTTTCATGTTAAAGTCTACTTTTTAACCGTTTTTTTTTAATCATGACAAAGATCAAACCTCCAGTTGACCAAGCTTTCCAACTGAATTACCTTTGGGTCACCAGTCAAGCAATTTCAACCATAAAATGCATTTCAATCTTATTCCATGTATTAGAATAAAATCTGATGACCCCACACCAAGATTTTTTTTCCGAAAACCTTCAGAATGAGCAATCATATTCCAATTCCGAAATAGAACTCGCGATTCCTCAAAAAAAAAAAAAAAAGAACCAACGCAACATACCTTGGGAAAGATTTTATCAAGAACCTGAATGGCACGCCTCGTGTTCCAACCGATATATCCACGCATAATAATATCAGCCTAAGGCCCGGATCAATCAATGCAAAAAATAAAAAATCAGAATAGAAGCAAGTAAGAGAGGACTGATTCGAGGAAATATGGACGCGAAACCTTGCGCGCATAGATATCAGTGAGGATGGCGCCCCATCCACCATTGCTGAAGCTGTACTGAACGATCGAAGAGCCGAAGAGAACGAATAGTGGCCGGCTTGGTCCTACCATGACTTCTACTCTTCCTCTGTCAGCACTCCTCCACGTTTTCGCCGGAGCGACCCGATTTCCGGAATGTTGTCGACGAATTAGGAGACCCTCTAGGCCAAGGAGAAGCCCCGAGTGCTCAAGGGCGCGCGCTGAGCTACCGTTTGGCTTGGCTTTTATGGCATATTGTGGACATTGATGGCCAACAACCTTACCAGCTCATTTGCCTCTCCTTCCAACTACTGTACAAGCTACTGGTCCGCGACGGACGGCCATTGTAGAGGAGACTAATTATACTTTCAAGTTACAATGATATATTTTTTAAATCCCAAAATAGTACCCCTTCTTTGTTTTAGATAATATTTGATAGATTAAAATACCTAAATGTGATTTTGGGATTGATGTATCTCTAAAATATTCAAATGCTTGACATAAATTTTAAAATAATAATTAAATTATAAATTTTTAGAATTAAAATTGGGACTTTTTAAATTCAAATTTTAATAAACTTATAGTCATAATAAGAATATATATACAAGACAAACACATGGACAATTCAAGTGATTTGATCCAACTTTAAATGAGCTCAAATCAAATACTTGAAGTATACTTAAAAACTTAAGAATATTAATTGAAGAATCTAATGATCTTTGATTCTACCGTGCTTATAGTAAAATCAAATGGTTCGATGAGAGGAATCTAATGAGCCCAAGTGATAATTGATCTATGATCAAGGAGGTCAATATGAACGATATAATATAATGTTTTTTATTCTAACCAAAATATTCACATGTTTGACATAAATTTTAAAATAATAATTAAATATAAATTTTTAGAATTAAACTCGGGATATTTAAATTTCAATTTTAGTAAACAATGTCAAAATTAGCATATATGCAAGACAAACAAATCGATTGTGGGCTCCAAAAATTCACGCCAAGGCCTCTCCGCAACCCTTTTCTTTTTTCGGTTCATCAAGGAGAGTTTTAACATTTAAATTATGAGGCAAATTTTTGGAAGGCGGGATTGAGTTTTGAATAAGACATTACCCGGATATTTTGCCCTCATTTTGGGAGGACTTTATGATCTGAGTTCGGGTTTCCTATAGGCGCAAGCCCTTATAGTTAATTACCTCTCCCAATAGCAAGAGTAACTTTCGATTAAGGCTAGTCATCAAACAGATACATTGTATCCAATGTATAGTAATTATGTTTTTAAGTACTTAAAATTTAACATTTAAAATTAAAAATTCACCACCTTGCACATAAAGTGGATGGTGTTTGGGGGGAGGGGGTGAATGATGATAGACCCGATTAAGATCACATGGTTCTATCATCTCGAGTGCTACGATCGTGTATTTGTTTGATGATTCAGGACGTGTCAACTCTGCCTATTTACCGACAAAGGAACATGCTTGAATCTAAGTTTATTTCTTGACCCATACAATATCCTCAGACGTCACATGTGCTTATATGTCATGCTTGTCATAGCCCATGTAGGTGTATTCTTTTGAATACATTTTTATGTGATGTATTTATATGATAATCATTATAAAAATATAAACATATACGTAGGGGGTTGAATGATGATAGACCCGATCAAGATCTCATGGTTCTGTCATCTCGAGTGCTACGATCGTGTATCTGTTTGATGATTTAGGACGTGTCAACTCTGCCTATTTACCAATAGAGGAACATGCTTGAATCTAAGTTTATTTCTTGACTCACACAATATTCTCAGACGTCACATGTGTTTATATGTCACGCTTGTCATAGCCCATGTATGTGTATTCCTTTGAATATATTTTTATTTGATGTATTTATATGATAATCATACATATGCAATGGGTATGTATGATATATATGCATGCGTATATACACATTTTCATGAGTACGTATATGTTTATATTTTTATAATGTACTTTCACACTTGTATGCATATTTGTAGATTTACATATATATTTGCAAGTTAGTCAGGCTTGTATAATATATTCATATGTTACTCATGCATTTGCATAATGCATTTGTGTGGTGGCTTAGGGCACTAAAGCAGTGTATTATGCACTTTTACATATTAAACGGCTTGTTTATGCAAAAAGCTTTGCATGTTGTGACATGTATATGCACAAAATGATCTTGTTCAATATAACGTGCTACCACAACGTGACATATTTTGTATATTGAATGATATACTTGCATAGTATACACTGCATACTACAATCTGTGTATGTTTTACATATATTCAAAATATTTGCAAAATGCTTATGCATATTATGAATGCATCAATGCACATTTCAATGCATGAGGGAGTATTTTTATAATATTTAAATATGTTCAATTGTGCATATGATGATCATTTAAAAAATGCACAATTTTTCACTTAAGCGCTTGTAAACACCTTCTGCCCTCTTTTATGGATGTTGCATATTCGGTGGTGTAGTTCAGCCCATTTCATCTTCTGCGAACTATTATTCTTTTAAATGTTCAACCCGTAGAAGTGTACTTTTGCCTATAAGTATGATGTGTGATCCATCAAGAGCCCTCTACCGTTGATATGCAATTTTCACTACAAATTTCTTACTTTTACTTGTAGGTGATTCATAGCGTTGTGTTATGAGTCTTTTCCTACTTCAAGTAGGTACGCCATCGCGTAATGCAAGTTTCATTTAACATTGTCTGTAGTCTAGCACTATGTACTTGGGAGTCACCATTTATTGTATGTAGGTGAACTGTGTTCAGCATTGATCTTCTAACTGAGTTGTTCATTGCTTCTTGAAGGTAAGTTGTTGTGTCATCCAAGCTTTATTGAATTTGCTTGTAAGTCATTAGTGGACATTCAAAAATCACTAGTCTAGCTCATTGGCAGATTGTTGTGTGCATAATGAATCTCTTACAGTGGCTTGTAAACATTTGTATTTGTCATAGGCTCATTGCTTTTTCATGCAAGCAGTGTGTCGTGCTCGTTGTGATCTCCTCACTTATGCTTGTATAGGATCCATCATACTTGCAATACATCCACTATTATTGCTTATAGGTAGGATCGTTGTATACATTATGGGGCATCTGTTGTTGCCTGCAGGCAAGCTGCATTGAATGCAAATCTTCTAGTGTCGCTCAATAAGTGTTTACATTTACTATAACTCTTATGTATTTGCTTATAGATAGCATGTTGCTTGTTTATGTTCATAGAGGATCCATCATGCTTGCAACATATGAACTAGGGCTGCAAGCGAACCAAACGTTCGACGAACTACTCGTTGTTCGGTTCGATTAAAGCACGTTCGTGATCGTTTAATTAACTAACAAACAAACTTGAACAATATTTTAAATACTCGATTCTTAAATAAACAAGCTTGAACACTAATGCGTTCAGCTCATTTATGTTCGCGAACAACATCAGTTGATGTTCATGAACAAGCTCGATAAAAAGCTCGATTCGAGTTCGATTAAATATAAAAAATTAAAAACTTTACTTATACCATAATATAATATAATTATTTTTTATTAATAAATTTTAAAGTAATAAAATATTATAACATATGTTCATATAAATTAATCATATTTTCATTTTAAATATACAACTGCTTTTATTTTAGAAATTTCATTTCATGAACAAGAAATATTGCATATTTGTCCATGTTTGTTAGATTGTTTGTTTAGAATGTTCATGAACAAATTTAATATTTGCTTGTTCAATAGATTGTTTGCAAGATATGTTCACTAACATAGCTCGTTTAAAGCTCGATAAGCACTAAACAAACGAACATAAACCAAACATGAACACCCTTAAATTAAATGAACCAAACATGAACACAAATAATAAAGCTCGAATCAAACACGAACCAAACATGAACAAGCTAATGTTAAACAAACACAAACATGAACACTCACATACTCGGCTCGGCTCGGTTCGTTTGCAGCCCTAAACATATCTCCTATCATTGCTTGCATGCAAATCAATGTGTTCATTTGTAAGTTGATGTTGACTACCAGATGAGTTGCATTCATTGTTGAGTTCTTCATGCATGTTGGTTATCGAGTTGTTATGCTCATTACACATTGGCTTTAATTTGTGTTCATAGGAAACTATCAAACATATGTTCAAGGGTCCCTTGTGGCCCACTAGGTGATTATTATTTATTATTATATGGTAACATTGATACTTTCATTGAAGTTTATTACCCTTGCCCTCTGATGAGCTAAAATGCTTGCACTATAAATCGCCTTCCTCTACATGTAGGTGATGTATTATGTACATGATAGGTTCTTGATTTTGCCCATAGGTGAACCATCAGTGGATGTTTATCTTTATTATATGTTGCATTGTGTATATTTTCTTATGTTGCTTGTTGATGTTTGCTTACGAGGGACTACTGTATTTGCTTGTATGACTGATGTAAATATTACATTTCAGGTGTTATCATTCATAGGCAAATTATAGTATGTTTACAAACTTTTGTTTGAAAAGTGCAAAGCAATTTGTGATTATATTTTATTTGTGAAAAATTAATTTTTAGAATTTTAGTTTTAAAGTCTGACACGACAATAGAAACAATATATCACATCGGAATGTGAAAATATCGTTGTCTAATGGATTCAAATTACAAAACTATAAGCTTCATCCTCATTATCGCAGTCAAATTCGAGAAGGAACTATATATGACCCTGAATGGTCAAAATGATGTTCAATTGAGTATCTAGATGTATTATTATTAATTTCATATTCAAAGATATATTGATAAATGATATATCTCTCTGAGAAAAGAAAATATCACTAATTATCCATGGCTTGAATATGACGATAATATTTGTCCATATTTTTTTATTTTCCCAAAGATAATAATGTCTTCTTTTCTCCATTCTATTTAGGACATTTTTTCATTATAAAATTTCTTTAAATGATATATGATTCCCTTTCCTACATTTGATTGTAAGGATTATTAAATTTTTAAAACCTATTTCTCATTTCAAACACTCTCTATAGAATTTTACATTCATCTTTCGAGATGACATATTATTTTTTTAAATTGTGTTTAATTATAGAAATGATATTTTCTAAAATTTTATTCTATTATTAAATTCATTATAGAACATCATGTTTATCACCCAAGATAGTATGTTATTCTCAACATAGTATTCAATATCAAAATGAAGCTCCCAAATTGAATCTGTGTGGCATTTATTTTCCCATAACTATATATTTTTGTACTCCCCAAATCTATCGTATAACCTAAATAATGCACTTAATATATAATATCTCATTTCAAATCTCTAGAACTAGGTAATCACAACC